GAGAGAGAGAGAGAGAGAGAGAGAGAGAGAGAGAGAGAGAGAGAGAGAGAGAGAGAGAGAGAGAGAGAGAGAGAGAGAGAGAGAGAGGACATTAGTTTTTTGTTTTAACATACGAACGTGATGTGTTTGCAAAAATCCATCATCCAGTAGGTGAAAGTGCATTTGAAGTTCATGAACTTCAATGTGATTACGTCCAACTTTCTTCTTTCTTGTAACGAGTTTTCTTTTTCTTGCAGGAAAAGCCATAACAGGTCATCTGTTGCTTATTGGAAATGACGAATGGCTTCCTTTTTTTGGATGTTTTCCACAGGATTATTTCTCAATGAATGACATATGTTTGCTTGGCACGGTGCATTCATATGCAGGCTAGTGAAGGGTGAGGTTTTCTCCATGTTGCATGTGCAGGGATACTTGCGGTTCTGTCGACGTATGGAGTTGATTGTGCAGCTTCCGTTTACAGCGGTGGCGACTGGTAGGTGGTTATCTGTCTAGCCTAAAATTTATCTTTGTGGCCCTCAATCCCCTCGTCACCTTCAATTGGTTGGAGAAAAGGTACCGCGGGAAGCATTCGTAGTGACAATTCTTGACAGCGCAGCAATATTGTTATCAATTTATCAGACTATTATGGTTATTATGACGATGATTGTTAATCATTGCAATCATTACGATCCTGGCCAATTCTGAAGTGCAAATACAAAGGATATACCACGCCGTCCAATTGCAAAAGGAATGAATGAACTTGAGAGGATAGAGACCAAAGAAGAAGAAGAAGAAGAAGAAGAAGAAGAAGAAGAAGAAGAAGAAGAAAAAGAAAGAAAGAAAGAAGAAGAAGAAGAAAGAAAGAAAGAAGAAGAAAAAGAAAGAAAGAAGAAGAAAAAGAAAGAAAGAAAGAAGAAGAAGATGTACACCAGCAAAAGACCAATGACAATTCCACCTTCTCTCTGCAACCAACTCGTCCTCCTTATCTCTCCATCTCTTGTTCAAACAATAAATAATAATAGTAACGATGAATGGATGAGAACCAGAATCAATGTCCGAATCCCTCTTCCACTGCCAGCACAATATGAGGTCCATCATAGCCATGACCTCCATCTTCCTCCACCTCCGACAGATCTGGGCTATGGCGGACTACTAAGGGCCTTGCCTGATGTTCAAAAGACAACCCAAAAGCAGCTATGTCTTCCTCTCTACAGGCCGCCATATCTGACTCTGCCTTGAAGCATTCTTGATGTGGCGCTACCGCACTAGGGGCTTTCCAAATGCAGCGCCTACCGAGGAGATGAAGATGGCGCCTACCATAGCCAGGTAAGTACCCCTGGCGCTCTCCTCCCTAGTCTCCTTCTTCCTCCTCCTCCCGCCTGGGGTCTTCCACCATATCCGAGGTGGTCACCCAGGCACTCCACTAGCACCGCACACTAGCACTCTCCAACCAGGCGCTCCGGCAGCGTGACGCCCAAACTTGCATGCAGCAAATGAGGAGGAGCAACTTGCTCCTCCTGGAGATATAGCGGCCTACCAGCCTCTTGGATGGTGACTTCCAGGCCGCCTGGCCTCCAAGCAACAGGTACCTCCTCCCTTTCGGAGGGAAACAATATTCCAGACCTGAGATCTACTCCTACAGGCCTTAGATGTACACTACCGGACTTCTACCCTTAAAGGTACTAATTTTTTGTCTTCTTCTGCTCGGCCTACTGCTACTCAAAAGGTGCTACCGGTACTGACACTATGCTAATTCGGTGTGCTCTAAGCTACCCCTTCGGTCACTTGAGTGTTTTTCCCCGCTGCAACCCTTGAAGTCATGTCCACAGGTAAGTATCAGCCCCGCGGGCCTCCCAAGCAAACAAGTGCCCTGGCGGGCCACACACACACTCAGGCCGACAAGCACTGAGAAAGGCACACGGACCAGCAAGCACGCACACACACAGACTTACAAAACTCAGCACAACACGGGAATCTCAGCAAGGCATACATTCCAGCGGCAAAACTCAGAAATCAGCAGTGTTCTCAGTCTGTCGATTGCCAGGTCCTTTCATGATACTACAGGACAGGATAGCCAGGCCCCAGCAGCTGAGAACACCGGAGAAGCACATGAGAGAGGATGAACAAGCTGGAACTACGATGACAAAGACGAAGACGAAGAAGGAGGAGAAGACGAGAAACAAGAAGAGGATGATGACGATGAATGATGCTTTGATGATTGGAAGATGATGAGGACGAGGACGATAAGAAGAAGATCATGTGATGATCATGATGATGAGGATCCGGATGCTGGGTGGAAGGGGTGTATGATATACGGGGACACAGGGGGATAGGTGTCATGAAGAGGGAGAGAGAGGGGCCATGGATTTACGATGAAGGGGAGAGAAGAGGGGGGGGCACTTTGCGGGGTTGGTAGTGGTGGTGGTGGGGACGGGGGAAGGGGTTTCGAGACATGAGTGATGACCTTTCTAGTTTTCAACCTCCAAGAGGAATGTGGTTGGCAGTTGTTGCACTGTGTTTCATGTGCAGTATAACCATGGTTAAGGGGGAAGTTCCTTTTTTCTCCCTTGTTTTAGTGCTCTTTTTCAAACAGGTCAATATGGTTTGATGGTGGGTGTTCCAGTCAGCCAGACTCACTTGATTGATCTAAGTTATCATTATTGTTTTACCTATGTGCTATCTTCTGTTTAGTATTTACTATTGCCTCTTGGGAGCAACAGATGTCAAATTGTAAATCCTTGAGGGCTTTTGCATACTGTGTTTGCATTCTGCTATTTTTTTGAGGTGCTTAAAGCTTTGTTCAAGTTCGTTGTATTCAATCGACAAAGAGTCTGAAGTTTGTGAAAATGTGGAACTCCTGATGCCGACTTTTCTTTCTCGCCCTCTGTACCTACTGATGCTGATTCTCAGCAAACTCACTCCCTCTCAATCAGGAAACAGCGCCGCGCTCTTGATGGTTCTCTGGTCTCCACCACATTATGACTCTCCTGATACTCAGTGGCCCCTCAGGTACATATTTTCCATTGAGCTTGAGCCCAAGTGCATAACCTTGCCCTTCCAGTGCACATCCCCCTTCCTCCTCTCCTCCTCTCCTCCTCTCCTCCTCTCCTCCTCTCCTCCTCTTCTCCTCTCCTCCTCTCCCTCTCCCCCTTCCCACTCCCCCCCTGGCGCCTGCACCACTTCCTTTCATCACACTTTTTTGTAATGTTGCATTCTTGTGTCTCTCAGACTCTCTCAGTCCCCTGCACTTGTCTCATTGAAGCACAACTGATTCTGGAAGGTCTTTTCCCGGATATCTTGCTGGTATTTGTTTGGTAATCCAGATGTCTGTATCTGCCGATCTTCGTGCTTGCCCTCTCTGAGGGCGTACTCACAGTTGTACTTTCTTGAATGTATGTGATCATCATTGTGATGACAATTTGGATCAGATTCAGTGAGGAAAAGTCCTACTATGAATATGCCCTCAGCCCTTTAATAGTTTAGTTCTCCTGGTTCCTGCAAGCCTGACATCGCTAACCAACCATACTACCATGGTTAACTTGGATCTTTATAATACCGTTTATTTATTTTCAAAAAGGACCTCATGGCCTGGGTCCATATCCAATCTGGGGAGCGGCAATCCGGTTCCTTTTCCATCAGCAAGTCATGAACAACGTACAACATATGGACCACGTCCGCCTCCTTCTGTCCGGGGTGAAGGACCACTGACCAGCACAGATTGCCGCAATTCTGGACAAACTGTCAGCTTGCCTTGTCTTCCTAAAGTCCCTCTCACCCTCGGTATTGCTGTGACCATCGGATTCCCTTGGAGATCGAGAGCCGCAGAAAGGCCCCGCCGGGCCAGGGATTTATATTTGGACCAGGGGATTTCAATTTGATCTTTTGGTTTGAGCTGAAGGAGGTTCTGTCGTTTCTTGTTGATTTCAGAGGACGGGTCTTCTTTTTTCCAGGCCCAATTTGCAGCCGAATCTTCTGTGTATTCCATAGTTGGAAGGGTCTTTCTTTTATCTTTCGTATATGGCGACCATTCCCTGGGGTCTTACTTCCGCTCGACAATGCTCGTGTACGGTTCTACACTTGCCCAAGGCCTTGAGACAGTTATCTGTACCGTCCTGAGAAGGAATGTATTGAGCAAACTGCTTCGGGGTCTGAACAGAGGGCCTGCCATTCCCAGGTGTGTGCTTTGAGAGATTTCGAATGAGGTAAATCAGGCTCTGTATCTTCCCAGGATTTGACTAAGTGATTAACTTGGACCATTTGTTTTTCCCCAGTTAAAAAAAAAAAAACCCCACTTCCGGGCTAGGCTACCAGACTGGCCCTTGGCCACTGGCCAGGTCGGGCCAAAAAATAAAAAATAAATAACAATAAACATTGTTTTGTAAATTGTAGTTTTATGTTTCTCATTTTAATTTAAATTTGTTAAAGAATCTTCATGTAACCCTGAGGCAAAAGTTGCTCAGTTTATTTTTCTGCATAGCAGAGTTTTTTTTTTCCAGATTTTTTATATTTTTTATATTTTTATTTTTGCTGGGACCTTCCCTCATCCTTGCACGGCTGGGCCGCCTGGGCAAACGAGGTGATCCGGGCGGCCCGGCTGGTAGCCTAGCTTCGGGGGTCGTAACTGTGGTCTAAACCCCAAAGAGTCAATAAACCTTAGCTCGTAAATGGATGTTAGGATGTTACTCCACTTGTATGTATCCTTGCACTTCGCTGGGTGGAGCTCCCTTGCCAAGGCTGCAGCCTTGGTGATTGCCTCCACCTGGCTGTTGGGCCGCCTCAACCATTCGATCGCAAGATCAAATGGCTCTTAACATGCCACTAAGGTCTGATGTGAGGTTCCTAGAGCCTTCCATACATCTGGCAACTCTTCTTGGCCGTTGATCCAGCCAATCAGATGGACAAGATCTTTTGCATGGTTTCTAGAGGTTTCTCAGTCCCTAGGCCTTTTTCAAAGGCCTGGACTGGATGAATCTGGCCTCTTCTTAGGCTACATTCATGCAGTGCCACTGCTTGGAAGGGCCTAGATACGTTGGCCTGTATGCCGACCCTATTTGATCATGAATCTGGCCTTATACTCCATCCAGATTCACAGGCCAGTGGGCCCTCCCTTGGGGTCGCATTTCAGCCACTTGCGAAATTCTTGCACCCTGCGATCCACCCAATCGACTGTTGAAATTCTTCATGCCACCCAGAACCTTCCTAGATCCTCAAGGCCTTTCGGGCTTTTCCAAATGGACACCTGCTGATACCAGGTGAATCTGACACTGATCTTGGTCGGATTCAGTCGGCATACCAGCCCACTTAGCTTCCAGGCCTTTCTAGGCCTTTTTATCTCACGATCAAAAACATCTCACCAGTTCTAGGGCCTTCTGGTATTCCAATCTTCCGGTTATCCATCCCAATACATTCCAGCCCGATGGCGCTCGGCTTCCAAGCATGGATGGGATTGGGCACATTAGCCGCGGTATGACTGTACCATGTGCCTCAAAGCCGGTTCCTCCACCTTTAAGCGTTCTCCAAGGCCACCTGGGCCAACCCTGGTGTCGACCAACCCAGCCAGACCTTTGCCTGACTAGCCAAGCTGGCTGTACCTGTATATGGCCAACTGAACACTGAATGGACACCCTTGTAAGGGTGTCCGTTCCAACAGTCCTCCCAACCCCTTATTGAATGAATGTCCCTGTTATTCACCAGAACTCTCATCACATATACTACTCTTGATATGGGCTGCATTTGCGGCAATGCCCTCTGGGCCTGTAATACTAAAGTAATAAACTAATAGTCCTTATATGATTGTAGCCTTTGTAGGGAAGTAAAAAAGTCCGTAAATGATTCTATACTATTTATAGTAATTACCCCCAGAAGACAAAGAACCGACCAAATGGCAGTGATGGTTATGCCCTGTCTGACAAAAATGGTCTCTGGGTTGGTGATTGGGGTTGGATTGCAGGTCCGTGCTCCTGGCTGAGGTATTCACCGTCTCAACTCTTCTTGTATACTATACATGTGAGTGTGTTCCCTGTGAATACCACTTTCTTGTCAGTTTTATTGACCTACTCCAATACTTGGGAATTCTTTTCTTTTAGCTTTTCTAAATCCACACTCCACTACTGACACCTACGCACTTTCAGTTGCCCTCTGTCAGACACATGTATGTTTTTCTGTCTCACGGAGACTTGCACAGTTTATGTACAGAGTCTGCAGACACTCATTCTTGCATGGACTAGCACACACACCAACCTCTCTCTCTCTCTCTCTCTCTCTCTCTCTCTCTCTCTCTCTCTCTCTCTCTCTCTCTCTCTCTCTCTCTCTCCCCCTGCACATGCACGCACCAAGGCTGGTCGTTTTTTTTTTTTTATCGGATGTGTTAATGGTATTTTTAGTCTACATTCGGTTCAAGTACCTTCTTTGTAAACTTACGACTACAGATTGCAGTGAGGATGGTGTTTTGATTGTTTGGAATGATGAGTGTTGATCCTGCTGTCTGTTGGTTTTGTGCTGCTGCGGCATGAAATTGTTTGGGCAGACTCAGATAGTTTCTTATGCTGCAGGTTTGACAAAGGGAGGAGGGGTTGGTTTGCTGGGAAACTGCTGGTGTGCTAAGGGTAAATAGTAAATACTAATAGTAAATACCAAATGCTGCAGTGCTAAAAACCCGGTAGGACCGGGGGGTCCTCCCCCAACCGGAACCGGACCGGTCCTACCGGCCGGTCGACCGGGCCGGTTCCCCCCCGGTTGGCTGTAGTGCATCTTTTATTTTTTTATTTTTTTTTATTTTTTTATTTTTTTATTTTTTTTTAATTTTTTAATCCCATGGTGTTGTTGAGGCCAAGGAATAGACCCACAGTGATTGCTGGCAGCGGCAGCCGGTGGTTGTCTTGACAGGATAGGCCACCTTCCCTACCCTTCCCCACGTTGATGATCCCAGCGCACCCCCTATCCCTACTATCCTACCTCAGTGTCAGGACCATCGCCCTACCAGTATCGAGGGCAGTCACCAGACAGCAGTGACAAGCACCCCCTAACACTATCACCCCCACCCTTCTTTTCAAAGTTTTTGGGTGGGAAGCACCGTCCCTACCCTGCCACTAACACCCCAGTGTGACCAGCACTCAGGACCATCACCCTACCAGTATCGAGGGCAACTTGGACGAAGCACCCCCTAACACTACAACACCTACCCCCCTTTTCAAAGTTTTTGGGTGGGAAGTACCGTCCCTACCCTGCCACTAACACCCCCACCCCCCTCTTCAAAGTTCTTGGGCAGAACGTCAACGTTTGCAGAAAGCCAGGTACGTTGTTGTCAATGTCTGCTGAAGCCCGTGCTGAAACCCCACCACTAACACCCTCACCATAAACCCCCCAACCCCCAACCCTCAACCCCTGAAATACCCCCCCCCCCCCAACCCCCCAAACGAAACTTCTCTGTTCAAAGTTTTCTTTGCAGATTCGGGGAGATCTCGGTGAGCGCAGTCCAACCATGTTTAAAAAAATAAAAATAAAAAAATTTGACCCACTTTTGGACCCAACCGGAATTCCGGTTGGACCACCGGGGGTCCAACCGGCCCGGTTGGATCCGGGCCGGTCCAACCGGCCGGTTGCCGGCACAGCCATGAAATGCTGAGTATTTAATAATTATATTTCACTTTCTGTAAGTCCTGGAATGTTCCACGTCTGCAGATCTTAGTGGGTCAACATTTTATCATCTCACACCTGTGTATGATCAATGTGCACACAGTTCACTTTTTAAAAGTTTTTTAGCAGTCGTGTAACAAACATTTCATAGCTCTTCAGTTCGCATTTCTGTGGGATCGCTCTATCTGCATGTGCAAGATCTGAGGAAGTCCCTTGAGCCGATTCCTTAACGTTTGGAAAGTCCAAACCATACTTGCGGCGCATAGGTGAAGTGCGCTGCGCGGTGCGCGGTGCGCTAATCCCAGATGCGCGCGCAAAAAAAGGAAAAACGAAAAGAAGGAAAAAAAAAGAAGCAACCGTGATGTGTGTATACACACTGGAGAGAGAGAGAGAGAGAGAGAGAGAGAGAGAGAGAGAGAGAGAGAGAGAGAGAGAGAGAGAGAGAGAGAGAGAGCACAGAGCCCTTTCACATTATTCAGACAACCCGTGCCGGTACTTCAAAAGGTCCCTGCCAAAAATTGGCAAGGGTCCCGTCGGCAGGAGTGGGGTGGTCATTGGACGGGTCGCCACTGGACTTGTAGTAAGGAGGAGGGAGCAGGCCAGCTATATATGGTGTAGCTTCGAATTCAGGTCCGTGTTTCAGTGGTTATGGGTTACTGAATTACTAACTCGGCATGTGATTTTCAGGGCTTCACTCCGCTACTCACCAAATGTGCAAAACTAGAATGAATCTTCTCCTAGAAACTGGAACCATACAAGCCATCCGTTTTTCTTTTCTGCAAGTGCTGATGAGTGGAGCGAGGCCCTTAGGGCCACTGCACGTAAGAAAAGGGAAAATAGAAAAACGGGACAACTACTGGAGTGTTTGTAGTAAGTTCATAACCCATAACTCTTGGAACACAGACCTGAATCCGAATCCAGGATATATTGCTGGCCTACTCGAGGTCTTCAGTCCAATGGACATCCTTCCAAAAGCACGGAAACCCTGCTAATTACATGCAGGTTACTTTTGGAAAGGAGAATATAACCAATGAGTAGTACGGAGAGGCCCCAAAACAACCCCTTTCTGTGCTCTTACCCTTTTTAAAAGGGAGGGACACTTATGGGTACCACGACCCACCCTTTCTGATTTTTTATTTTTGTATTATTTTCTAAATGCGCCGCATCACGTGCGCGTGCACGTGTGCGCAAGCGCTGTGCGGTGCACGTGCGCAACTTGTGCGCACGTGATGCGCCGCATGTATGGTCCAAACAGATCCAACTAGCACTCAGTGTGTTTTTCTCGATCATCTTTCTAACACCGATCTGGCCTTTTGTTGTCCATTGGGCACTACTTTTCAAATCCAGTTGCACAGGGAGGGAGGAAAGGGGGGTGAAATAACGTGTTGGGGTATGACATGACACACTGGCTGGGACAGAAAGGCAAGGGGAGAGAATGTTCTTAGGGAACACATCTTCTCCTATAAATGAGACAACCAGGGCCTTTGAGACTCGTGCTTCTCTGTGTACACAACATTCAAACTTGAGTTACTTGACCTCCTAAACTTACGATCCCTCTACCTGTACGACTATGGAATGAAAGATCTTATGCTTGAATGATGTTTCCAATCTTTGAACCTCTGCCAATATCACTGTGGCTGCCGTCTGTTCCGAGTCCGATTCTTCTTCCTCTTTTTTTGTTTTTTTGTTTATCTCATCTGCGTCCACTGGAGTTTGAACTCGGGTCTGTATTTCAACAGTTCAGGCATGTACCAACTGAGCGAGGCTGGTTGCGGAAGCATGGTTCTGAGCGTGGTTGACGTATGAAGTGTGTTCTAAGCAGTGCTGGTCCCCGGGCCACCCGGCGGCCTGGCCGTCGCCCGGGGGGGGGGCCGGGCCGCCTGGCCGGTTGTCGCGCCCGGTTGGCCACCGGGCGCCCCCAGCGCATTACTGTAGGTTAGGTTTTTTTTTTTTTTTACGGCGCCGGGGCCCTCTTTGCCCCCTACATAAACCTTGTGGACCGTGAAAAAAAAAAAAAACGGGGCCGGTAGGCCCGATTTCACCGATTTGAAATCGGGCCCCATCTGGATCGTCGATCTCGAAGATCGACGGCCCAGATTGCCCCGATTTCAAATGGGTGAGGGCGGGAACTACCGGCCCCCGTTCCCTCCCCCGTGCTGAAAACCGACGTCCCCCCTTCCCTGCCTTGCATCAAGTGTGTCCGCCGGCGCAACTTCAACGCGCTTCTTCGACGCACCCCGCCGGCACCCGCCAACGTCCGCCATCGCGCGTGACCCCGCCAACGTCCGCCATCGCACGTGACCCCGCCATTGCCCGCCAACGGCCGCCTTCAACAAGGTAAGGGAC